GGATGAAGATGGATGGATGAATGTAACAAAATACAAGTGCAGCAACTTGAGGCACTTCCTGGTACCTCTCCAGCTCCAGGAGAAGATGAACTGAAATCTGACTGTCCTTAGGTGTTCTACAGAAACTCTGTAGAGTATCTCAAAGATAGCATATAAAGTTCGGGGGGATCTGACAGGAAGAAGTTGATCAACTGCCAAAATCCAGGTCAAGCTGGGAGTTGTTAAGTAGTTAAAAAAGTTAAAAACATATCTTCACTATTTAATTATGACCAGAATTGACAGCAAATGTATCCAGTAATATTACAGTCACAGCGCAAAGTGTGAAAAAGATCAAAGGCTATGATGCTTTCTCAGGAAACTGTAAAACTGGTCTCTTTTTTTAAGTATCTGGGCCAAGTAACACTCGGTGTGTCAGAAGAAGCTTCAACTCCTCCAGGAAGTCCTTACAGGACAAATCGTCTTCTGCTGTATTTTTTTTAACATGATAGAGAAATGACCGGCCAAGGATTCTACCTGGTTACAACCTGTTTTTCCTCATGTCATGTCTTGTGTTTTGGCCAAACAGTCTAATCTTATGTCCTCATTTTTATACATTATATATATTATATTTCTATGTATATATATTTTATACATACAAGTTCTTTGAAATCCAGTGACAGATTTCATATACATCTGAGAAAGCATCGTAGCTTTGGGGGTCCAGCGCCTTTCACTGAGGTCACTACATGTGTGGACTCACTCCCTGCATCTCTCTGAGGATATAAATAAAACATATAAAACAAAAACAAAACATATAAAAATAAAACATATAAAATAAAATAAAACATATAAAACAATCCATTGTATAAAGGACTGGATGAGCTCCAAAATTCCTCATGAATCTTGGCAAATAATACAAAAAGACACACCAAACATAACAATTTTTTTTACCAAATAAAACATATAAAATAAAATAAAACATATATGTTTTACTTTATTTTATAAAACAAAAACAAAACATATAAAAATAAAACATATAAAATAAAATAAAACATATAAAACTAGAAACATATAAAATAAAACATGCCTCTCATGCTTTATGAGGCACCTGAAAAGCAGTAAAACTATATGAGCAGTAGTGAAGCTTGCAAAGGAGGCAACTGGACTGCTTTAAGTTTGTGAAGATGTTTCACTTCTTACCCACGAAGCTTCTTCAGTTCTAAACACAAACAGCAGCGTGTCCCAGGTATTTAACCCCCGAGAGAGGGATGTCGCCTATCGAGGTGGTCATTTACCTAATATTGATCATCACATGAGCCAAGCTGTGAAAAAAGGCCTGGGTCATTATCTTTCCTGGGGGTTAAGGGTCAAACCACTGTAAGACCTTGCTCCACCCCATCATGTGACCTTTTGAGGTCACCTTAGGCAAAGTGAAACTACACAGGAGAGACCCAACAGCCAGTCCATAAAAGCACAGATGTAACATAAATATAGATGAGCCACGTCAACAGGATGATGTAATCTTAAGATCCCTTTGCAGACACTACACACTCACACCGTGCCTCAGGCGACCTCGATAGGTCACATGACAGGGCGGGGTAAGATATCACCGTGGTTTCGCCCATATGCCTGAATTATATTCGAGTGGGAAAGCTGAAAGCTTCCACACAACCTGATGTGAGAAACGTAACCATATTTGGGGTTGACGGAGCCAACAAATGATGTGATTGGCCTGCTCAGCACCAGGCTTTCCTGCAGAAATCTCAATCAGGCCTTAACCCCAGTGATGGTATTGACCCGCGACCTTTTTCACACCTCGGCTCACGCGATGACGCACGTGATCAATATCAATAGGTCGACGAGGACCTCTGAGGAGGAAAATCTACACGAGGGGTTAAATACCTGGACTCGCCACCTTTTGTGGCGAAGCAGTCCAGCTGCTTTCTTTTTCAGGCTCTTAAGACCTCCATGACCTGGATAACACAGACAGATGTGAGCCACAGCTGGCTGCCTGTTCAGTCCTTGTGCTCCAGAGCATCTCCTGCTTTTTATGTGACTCCAACCAGAAAATCAGAGAAAGACATCCATGACGCGCGCGTGGCTCGTATCAAATAAAACACAAACGGCTTCATGAAAACTTAACTGCATAATTTACTGGCATAGAAACATCAGCTGTCTTCATATTCGCCTCTGATGATACAACTTGTAGGTGGCGTCTCTTTTAATCTGCAATGAATTAAGATGTCGCTCTTTCGCTGATTTTTGGAATCTGACGTGAAGAACTGTTGCAACGCTTTCTGATTTCTCCAGTGATCCAGCAGATGAGTCGTTTTGTGTCAGTACTCTCTTTGTGTGTCTCTGAGGGCCTCCAACTCGTTTAATTATTCAAAAATATTTTGGTTTGCAGATATCAGAGTGATTCTCCAAAGAGACCCGAGCTGCCGTTACTGTACGTCAGTGAAATTAAACTTCAAAGTCTGATGACGTGTTAAACCTCAAAGAGTGAATTAACAGAGGCCAGTATGAGACGGATCAAGCTCAATCAAGTTTAGCTTCAGAGTGCATAGAAGGCCTCTGATCGTGCTTGAATTTATTATCAATGTATGTTACTGCAAACTGTGGATCCCTGAGATGAGCTGTACTGGTGTGAACCCAGTTCAGCGTGGCTATGGTAGCATCAGGTGGCTTTATTCAGACGTCATTTATTGAATCAATAGAATTCAGAGTAAAAAACTGAAAAAGTGGCACTAAAAGTTAAAAATCTCATTTCTCACCTTGATGGCAGAGAGCAGCGAGTGTCCGTAGAGTTTCTTGAACTCAGCTCTGATGTCCAGCAGGTCGATCTCAGACCGGCTCACCATGATCCGGGTCAGAGTGGACTCGTCAGTTCCTGCACCCTGAAAACGAGATTCACTCAGTTAACTTACAAAATATATTTAAGCACAAGGTGGTAAATGAATCCAAAACTAATTAC